TCAATGGATATATATCATTACTTGGTCTTCTAGATAATAACGAAATTCTTCTCTCAAAGCCAGTGACTTCCGTGGCAGTGGTGGGTCTAAAATAATAATAATAATAATTCTCCTGTAGAAATAAATCCTAATTACAGAACAATAATACACATAGCAATAATACCGTTATGAAGTTGACTACACAATGAAAAAAGAATTTATAATGTATGTAATACAAATTACTTGTATAAAAATTAATGATATATATGAAATATATTTATTTCTCCAGCGACATATAATCTATATAATATATATCCGTGCAGGTTGCAAGATATTAGTTCGAGCTCTTGCAATGTTGAAACTATTTACGTGTCTCGAAGACAATCTTAGTATATTAAATCCTACCTTGGCCAGTAAAGTCCGCACAATCGATTATTCCTGTAACAAGTGGAGTGAGTAGAATTTTGGAAGTTTTGTTTAAACTTCAGCCAAAACCACATGTTGAGTTATGTAGGTTCGGAGGAGAGTAAATTAGGTTTGCATATTCAAGTTTAGTTAAAACAAATGAAGAAAATAAGATCTTAAGACCATCTTGATTATAAAAAAATTCTAACAATGAATACGAAAACTATAACTAAATCTTTATGCTTATTGAAGTCTATATGCACAAGGAGATAATAGGTACTTAGACAATAATAAATCATTTGTTCATAAATTAAATACCAATGGTCCAAAGTTGGAACCCCGGAGAACACCAGAGATTAACAAAAAAAGAAAACCTTGAAATCGATTGTAACAAACATAATAATTAATAGGGGTATTAATTTAAGAGTGCATTAAATGTTTTGATTAGGATTAGGATAATGAGAAACTAGAGTTATTTAGCTTAAGATGTGTGGAATATCAAAAAACTTTGAAAAGTTGATATATGCCAACTATCAACTCTCATTTTCAACTGCTGCAAATGAAGAAACTAACTAGGTCGTATTAAATAATCTCGGGTTGTCAGTTTGCTACTTCCCGAGCCTAAGCAAAGGAGGTATTGTAATCGAGTCCGTCGACCGACTCTCTACTTTTGCATTTTCTCGACTTATTATGACCGCTAGAGGACGAAGAAATATGTCTCCCGTTTCCGTCTGTCTGTCTGTCTGTCCGTCTATTCGTCTGTCCCTCTGTCCGTCTGTCCCTCTGTCCGTTTGTCTGTCCGTCTCTCTGTCCGTCTCTCTGTCCGCCTGTCTGTCAGTCTGTCTGCCGTCCCGGATTTTTATTAGAAAGATAATCTCCGAAAGTACTGGGCCGATTGTTGTCAAATTTTGTATTTATATTAGGTATATCATGTAGATGGTAAAACGCTAACCAAAATTTGTCTAATCATCCCCACCACTAATGCGATGACGTCACTTCAAAATTGTACATAAAGATGAAATGTAAATTTTAAGTTAGTCTTATGTTTAATTTTCAGAATACCTTACTAATGGGAAAACACATTAAGATTGTGCAAGTGGACGGTGGAAACTGTTTATTCAATTTTGCATTTTGCCTGCAACAAAACATACTTGTCTGAGAACCTCTGTCAAATTTCAGGTTTCACTCCGACAGGTGGAGAGCTATGTGTTTTCTCTCTCGTACATCGGCTTAAGTTAAAATGAGATAGCGTTTTGTTGTTCTTGTTTCTCACAGCATAACCCAAAGTACCGATGGTGGAAAAAAGAGAAAATGAGCTTTACGATATCCTGGAAAAATTATAACAAATGAAGTAATGGGTTTTAAATTGTATCAAATAACATATATAGTCTTACACATGTAGTTTATGACTCCGAATTGAGATTTTATCCGAAACGTCCAGATTTTTGAAAAAAAATCAAAATTAGGAAACAACATTTTGACATTTAATTTGGAATCTGTAAAACAGAATGCTTTGAAATCTTGCAGATGGTTTACAGTTATGATAAGCATGATAAGTTTTTATTCAAAATATATTTACTTGGTCCCTCCAAAAAATTGATGACGTCACCTGAAAAGTTTGTTGAATAAATCCTATATAAAATATAGAAAACATGAAGAGTCTGTACTTGTAATTTACCATTCTATCCATATTTTTTGGATTTCCATATACAGGGTGACTCAAAAAAATTAATGAATGCGTAAATTTATTTTATTGATTTAATCAGGAACCACAAAACCAAATGCTTTGAAATCTTGGAGATGCTTTAAAGTTATCATAGGCATGGTAAATTTTTGATGAAAATATATTTGCTCATCCCCCTAGCAAATGTACCACGCCACCCCAAAATTTTTTCGAAAAAATGCTATCTTAAATGTGCATTGTGCAAAGTATGATGAGTCTATAATTGTGATTTATCACTGCATAAATATTTTTTAGATTTGCTTATACGGGGTGTGTGAAAAAAATTAATGACTGAGTCAATTTATTTTATTGATTAAATCAAGAATTGCAAAACTGAATACTTTGAAATCTTGACGTTTTGAAGTTATTGTAAGCATGGTAACTTTTTAATGAAAATGTATCTGTTTATCAACCCCAAAAACTAGATTCCGGCATCTCAAAATTTTGCCGAATAAATTATTTCGCAAATGTGCAAAATATGAACAGACCTTTAATCATTGCATTCATATTTTTTAAATTTGCTTAAACAGGTGACTCAAGAAAATTAATGAATCAGTCAATTTATTATTGATCAAATTAAGAACGAGCCACCCCATTTTCTAGAAAATGTGAGAATACGCTCGTCTTCATAACAATAAAATAATGATAAGGTAAGAATTATAATAATAGCATTTAGAATATTTTGTTCAATGGAGCCTTATGAATAATTTTAGTCGTTTGTTTTGGGGCGATAAACTCATTCAAATCAAACAAATGTCTACGTGACAATCTTCCGATGACGTATTCCCGTTGATAATGTGCTGTAAATAAATGTTTTGCACTCATAACCTTTTTTGATGACCTTGGCGCACTCAACAGCATGCGGGACGTCGAACATGAAATTTTCTTGATTAAATGGTATAATAAACAGAACAGGTTATGAAAGAATTTTATAAACAAAGAGTCAATTGCAACGTTGTATGCAACACCGGGGTAATCCTAGGTATTTGGCCGGCCATGTGCCATAATAAAACGATCCTTCTTTATTTTCTTTATTGGTTTAAAATTGACGCTAACAAGTTAGTTAATAAAGTTTATAAAGGGTAATTTTATAGATATTATGTAACAAATTTTATAAACGCCTCTTTAGACATGAGTTTATTTATTCACGGGCGGAGCGAGTGTTTAAAAAAACGAGTGTCTAGAGAAGTTTATAGACGTGTTTATACTTTTTCTGCGACTTCCGAAAAAGAATCATTTGCCTAACAGTTACTGTTTATGCTGCCTCTTTCATTTCAAGTGGAGTGTATGAAAATGTCATTTTCAGTAATGTTTGCACCCATCTTCGTTAATACAGATTAAACAATCCACTTGATATTTTAACTATCGCTACACAAAAAAATACAAAAAATAATTAATTAGTTGCATAGTTCTATTCTATCATGTCAGAAGGTGTGGGTTGCTATAGATCTTGTTTGTGTAAAGAAAATTTTGTATTTTACAAAATTGCGTGTAAAATGTGTGAAAACGAAATGGACGAGGAAAATTTGCCATCTGATGTAATAGAAGAAGCATCAGGGGCACTAAATACATTACTGCCTCAGAAATCGAGATTAATTTACGAAAAAGAGTACAAAAGTTTGAAAATTGGAAGATGAAGAAAAAGACTAATATTATCAGTAAAACGGTGCTTTTGGCGTATTTTTCTTACAAATCTAAAAAAGTAAAACCATCCAGTCTATAGTCTTATTGCTCCATGTTAAAAAGTACACTACTTGTAAACCAGAACGGTGAAACTAATTACATTATTGAAGAAATTGTCTGAAGGATATAAGCCCCAAAAGGCGAAGATCTTTGAAGTGGATGATGTGGTGAGATTTTTAAAAGAAGCGTCAGATGACAATTTTCTTTTGTTGAAGATTAGATTTTTACAATTAATGATTTGAATAATAAGAGTAATAAGAGATTTAAAATTACAAAATTTAATAGGTCTGCACGGGGCTTGCCGTACAGATGAACTGTATAAGTTAGAAGACGTAATTGAATAAAAAAAAGTTTCTTAGTCTTTTATGTTGAATAGAACAAAGCACTCTTTAACATCTGCTATAGAAAAAATGTTACTAAGTATTAAAAACTAGCTCGATTTCAGATTATTTTTAGCCAAGTCATAGTTAATAGACACCAAAACATGCCGAACGCACTCAAGATGTGACTAATGAGCACAAACGTATCTTCGACCCGTGTTTAATGACTTCACGTCACGAAAATATAATTTTAAAACATCGTTTAGCGCCATGCATTTACATTCGCTAAACAAGGTTTCAAATACGAGAGTAGAAAATAATATTTGAACAATAACATTCATTTTATTCTGTATCTGTATACAGGGTGGTTCATGAGTAATAATACTAAGCCTAACTTTTTTAAAAACACAACCCAAAAAACATGCTTTCTCGGATAATCTTTTATGATTTTTTAAAACAAAACGTAGTAACTTTGCGTTTAAAATTTTAACATACAAGAGACTTCAAACACTTACATTTGTTGTCGAACGTTTCCCAAACAGAAGAAGACCTGCAGATACAATTTTTAAAAGGCTGGACCGCCACAGGACCGAAGAATGATGTAGCAGTTATTACAATAGTAGTAGATGTTGATTCACATCAAAATCAAGAAGCCATCGCCGTGCAAGTTGGCATCAGCAGGACGTCTGTTCATCAAATCCTCAACAGCACGCTGCTCCTCCGCATTACGCCCTAGCAGTGCAGAATTACCTTCGTGTGTAATGTTTTCCCTAACAAATTTGGAATCGAATCAACTGTTTTATAAGAAGCCAAGGACGGTACTTTGAACACATGTTGTAGTCACTGAGTAATGACTTATAAATAATGGAAAAATAACTTGTTTTTGAAAATCATAGATTTGCGTTATTGTTAATCAACTTCACAATGAAATCACTAATGCCTTTGCCATTTCTATTGAAACACCACTTGTTAATCGTAAATTTGGCAACGTTCATATTCAGACAATTTTCTAACTAAAAGCCGTTGTTAATCAACCGAAAGCTGCTACCAATTGCTAAATTTTAAGCAAAATCAACAGGTGGTGTTTCAATAGAAATGGCAAAGACAATATGTTTAACATTTTTATCAATTTATACAAAAGCATCAACGGAAGCTATGCATTGCATTTTGGGTTACGTTTTAAACTCATTCCGGCTCATTATCGTTCGTGAACAACACTGTATTATGACAAAATTTGTTAAAGTTATCAAATTCGATTTTGCGATTTTCGGTTTGTGATAACCTCTATAAAGTAAAAACCGGGGGCATAAGCCCCAAGTATGGGGAATGCAAAATAGGTATATTTCGAGCAAATAACCAACGGGATAAAATATCCTCTCAGAACTAATAACAAGCTTAATTTCAAGTGTTTATGTTTATATATTATCGAAAGAATGTCACGTAAAAATTTGTTAAAAAGAAGTAAAAATCGTGAAACGGTGACAAAAAGGTGTATGTTCATTTCCTTAAAAAAGCAGTGACGTTGTTTGGACTCAAAATATGCAGCATGATATTTTACATATGCAAATTATTCTAAGTTATAGAAGTATAATTTTACAATAATTAAAGGTTTTAACATACGCACTTCTTAGTGGTAAAACACTAAATTACTTTAGAGATTACAGATATGGATCATGATTCATGAACTTGAATTTATTGCTCTTCCAAAAGTTGAAGAATTGATCTCTATATTAAATAAACATCAACAATAAAAAAATCAGCAATGGTGCTGCTGCAGCAACTCGTTTCTTTTAATTGCACTGAAATTTTAGAAACCCAATAACCTCTAGATTAATATTACACTGTACACATCCAATCCGGTATATTTATTTCCACTACAAATTTGATAATATCGCCTCGAAAAATTACGTAATAAAAATGTATTTAAAAATAATATGCAATTGCATGCCTATTAGTTGTGCTTCAGAGGCGCGAACTTAGGTGTTAATAATAGTTATAATAAAAATAATAAATTTTTACTTCAAACCTCTTTCTGTCTTACTCGACCCGAGATATAATTATAGCACGTTTTATCGATTGATCGCGAAGCTTATGTATTCGACCTCTGAATGCTGAAAAAAAAAAATTTTTTAAATAATACATAAATTTCCAAGTTTGCCAAATACGTAGCATCTCATTGTCACAAAACATTTTTTCTGTATTCTCTTTGAGAATATATTTCTGAAATTAACATAACTTTATTCTGTAATATTTTCCATTTAAAATCGTTATTGACTACAATGCACGGAATGTAATTGAAGTGAAGTAAAATTTTTCATTTTACTTTTTCAACCTGTCAGGCACAAGTGGTACTGATGTTCAGTTCTTTTTCAGCATATTCTAAAATCTGAGCTAAAAAACAAATACTTACAAGTATCATAATTTTATCTATACTGCTTTCTTTATTTGTAATGCATGGAAGCAGATAAAGAAAAAGAATAAGTTTCCGTTTCATAAAAAGTTTCTAATTTTCATAGTTAAAATATGCACGTTAAACTTGAAATAGGAATTTCGAAAATTTTAAAAATTTGAACAAAATTTTGCCATTTCTACCGTGTGTAGATTAATAATAGGTACCGCCTATGTCAAAAAAATATTGAATGGAATTTTTTTTTAAATAAATGTTTTTTGCAAATAAACTTATCGTTATACAAAATAAGGATTAGTTTGTGCATGGCCCTCGTATATTCTTAGAAATCGCAGCATGCCAAAAAACTCGTATTGTTTCATTAAAAGCGCTACTGCTGTTTCTAGATTATTTTTCGTTTTCTGTTGCAGCACAGTTTTTTTGTACCTCTAAACTACCATGAAATTATGTACTGGAAAAATTTAATTCAATATAAAATAAACCAAAAAAATAGCGCCGATCTTTCTAACGAACCAACACAAGTTTTTTGGCACACTGCATGAGTGTGTGTATTCAAAGTCAACAACCTTTTGAGATATATTAAAATTCTCAGTTTGCTCGATCAATTTCAAAGTCCAATGAGTATTCAAATGAAGAAAAAGAAGGATGTTGTGCAAATACGGTATCTGTTGCTGGCACGGATTCTTCGGTGGTTACGGTTACGGCGCCGGTTATCAGAGACCGGCACTCGGGCCAACTGTCTCCTGATCGAGATGATTAATGGCGAGGCACGGATATATTAGTCCGAGGATTGCACATTTCACGCGTCTACTTCACACTTCGTATTCTAAACTGTTCAGATTATCTGTACCGTCCCCCTATTTACATCCTTTGCAATACGTTACGTGCTCGAATAGATAAATAAACGTAATTAACGTCGTGAATGGGCTCGTCATTTGCATTAGGAATATTCTAACCCGTAACTATTGCCGCAAACTTTGCGCATAGTTAATGAGAGTTATTGAAAATGTGTGCTTTGAGAACTGGCGCATCCACCAGTTTTAACATCAAGTGGAAAAAGTGTTTGTTGGCAGACATCTCCTGTGTTGTGTTGCCAAAAACTCAGATAAAAGAAGGAAGAGCACTTATTGTAAAGTGTTTTTGAGAATTCTAGCTCAACTGACTCTTACGTGGATTAAAGTTATTGATTAATACACTTGAACGGCACAGTCGAAACAATTATTCAACACAGAAATAACCAGGCACTGGGCCCCTGATGTGATAGTAATTTAAGAAGACAACTATGATAATTAAAAATGGAAAATTCAGATAAATTCTTACGCTTATTTATCCCTCTCTCCCTTTTAACCCTGAAAAAAAAAGTGCTACTTTGAAATAAATGCCATCGCAAATGTAGTCCAGTGAACATTTTTTTTATTACGTTACGTAACGCAACGAAAAGTTTTAGGTTATTTAAAAAACTAACTACTACTCAAAAACTTATTTACTAATCTGCAAAACACTTATTTACTAATCTGCAAAACAGCAAATTTATGACTCCAGATAATACTACCGACAGTTTTTTTTTTCAGCAATAGGTATTTAATTTTTTTAATACAGAAGCATATGCTTAAAAGTTTTTAGAACATGTACTCTAGAAAACGTTTTCTTTCGGTTGAAAGCAGTGTTCAAATTCAGAAAAATAAAAAATTCAAACGATTTTTAATTCCCGAGCATAAACTAGTGAAGTATTGTTATAGAGTCCAAAGGCAAATTTAATACTCCAACAACTTTATTAGAAGACCGTCGTCGAAACCAATGGAATGATCGTTACGAAATATTACACCTAATTATTTTTATGACTTCATCTGAAAATTTGTAAAATATATTATTAATCCACAATAATTGTTTTTGATTTTAAAATTTTCAAGTCTCACTTGGAATTTGAAATTTGTAATACGAGTACAACATGCTCCTTTATCTGCAGTTTAATACGCTTTCCGCATTTTTTAGAATTATTTCTAGAGGATGTCTCAAAACAATTAGTCTATGAGCAGTTTATTTCATTGCTTAATTCAAAAACGATTTGCCTAATTTTCTCGAAGTTCTGGGTACAGAATACTGTTATTAGTGTTACACTTTTTATATTGAGACTGATATACTGGTGTTTACCCCCACTAAAGAGCTGATTACGTCACTACAAAATTCATCAGTAAAATATTACTGGCAATATACAACATAGCACGCTCCTCTGTAGTTTAATAATCCAGTTCCTTTTTAATTTTAACTGTAGGCATTCTCGCAAGGAAAATAAAATTTATGTTTTAATTAATCACTACACTTTCCTCTGCTTTGAGGAGACGAAATCAATCAAGTTTCATTGTATTCTAACACAGTATCTACTTTTTTTATGCCGCGGCTTATTTTGGTTAACCAGAAAAAAATTTACAAAATTGTTTTTTGTTTTTTCAAAAAAGCTACATTTACTCAATAAAATTGTACTTCAGGAGCGAGTGAAGTTCTGTCTAAAAAACCCTAGACCAATTTTTTTAATGTCTTGTATTTCTTAGTATTCTACAGGGTGAAACAAATCACTACTGCGCAATTTTAACTACTTGATAAAAAATAAATAGAAAGTTTTAGAAAAATCTACTACGGTGAAAAGTACGTTTTGATCATTCATGAAATTTTAAATTTCTCTCATAGATTTTTTAAAGAATTAACCATGCTGTCGTTAATATTATTTGCTTATTTTTTGCCATAGAATTTGCCATTAAAATTATGCAGAAATGCTCTGAATCACCCTGTATAACATATACACATAAAACATTAATAGAAGTCTGTATAATATTGATGAAATTTGATTGATAATCACCTCAGTTTAAAACTTTTTTTTTTTTAAACGAATAGTGGTTTTGAGAGATTTCAATCCATAAACTATTTCTGGAGAATTCGGGATAACTTAAACGAGCTATGACAAAAGCAGGAGTTAATGAAGTTAGCAACACAGCAATGGCAGTTGATATCGGTATACGGTGGATGCTGTAAATTGAACAAACATTGGAACTCAGCCAGTTCAGTATTTTAGTTTAGTGTTGAACATCAGGTGAGTAAGTTTTAAGTAGAATTTAAAGTAAAGCATAAATTATTTTCCATAAATGTTGCTTTTCATTTTGTAACAGGGTTTTTAAAAATAATTCAAAGGGCGTAGTCAGCCATGAATTTCAAAAATCCCGCCTTGCTGAAATTAAGCCTCATTATGACATTTCTCATTTGTCATTTGTAACCTGTCATTTAAAGATGTCGTTTTTATTGTTCTAAGGTGTGAATTACAGTTGATCCAAGCTCAAAACAACAAAACAGGTGTTTTCAAAACCGTTTCTGGGTGCTTGCATACGAAATTTTTTTTTGTGCTAGGAAGAGGAGAAAATGGTTTATTCTGTTGAGCAAGATATTTCATTATTATATCTTATTATCGCAACGGACATTCGTAAACAGAGAATGTGTGTATTCTGTAACCGCTTGTAAGCAAGAATATCTGGCCAAATACCCTGATTTGCAAATTCAAGAAACGCCGTTAGAGGCTCACATTAAAGATATAACCAACAGATTTGTCTGAACCGGCGGGTCAATAAAGGGAAATTTCCTGGAAGACCTTCAGTATCTGAGGAGATTGTTGATGATTTGAGGCAACGACTCGAGCAGAATCGGCAAACAACTTTGACAAAGTTTCCTTAGCAGTTAGGAGTTCCTGTTGCAACACGAAAGTGAACAATGTATCCAAAGTGTTGATGAAAGGATGTTACAGAACATTTTTGAAAATAAAAAACAGAGAGTGAACCTGTGCCTTGAACAAAATAGTGAACATTTTCGACATTTACTGTGATGTGTCACCACAATAAATTTGCTTATTTTTATTGTAGATTTTATTTTTTAATAACGTAAGGTATGAAGGACTTAGGCCACAAATGCGTGCGTCCTTGGGCATTTAGTAAAACACATATAAGTGATAAGCGGCACGCTCTCATGACCTACTTTGACCCTATAATCATTTATAGAAACCCCGTATTATAAAATATGCACAAAATTAAACACAGTTTTTTTGCCAAACCACTCCTGGAAAACTGGTCAAAAATATTCCCACTAAACACAGTTTCTTCATGTTCTTTAAAAAATATAAAGCACCTACATTTAGCAGATACAGAACTTTTGGTTCTAGTCTTTTAGACAATGTCACCACATTAAACACCTTTAACAACATAAGAATTGGAGAAGAAGGTCTTAAATGAGTTATTTATATATATATAAGGTTTTTAAATGATGAATCTAACTAACAATCTGACTCTCCTCCACGTTTTTCAGAACATTACATTTTTTGTATCTAAAAATTTATTCTATAGACAAGCGAAAGTAAAGGAAGTACAAATCCAATTTTAAAAATAATAATTAGGAACTTATATTTTGGCCAAAAAAGCAAATGAAAATCTCCAAAGATCTGCGTGAAAGATGCGTTTTATTTAATATTTAAAATTGTGTTAAAGATTTTTTTATTGTATTAAGAAACAGATAATATATAAAAGTGTTCAAATTAGAGTTGACCATGGAAATATTTGTCAAGTCTTTTACAGTTTAATCAATATTTCCATGGTCAACTCTATTCTAAAAACTTTTTGATCACTCTTTATTTAAAACTATGCTGCTTTCCTTACTTTCATGTTGATTTTTTTCTGACCAGTTTTATTTAGAAACACTTTATTGCAAGAAAAATTTTAACATTAATTTTTTGAGCAATTCACATGAATCCACTTTACCAAAAAAACAGTTAAATTTTGACTTTTTACAAAATCTGGATTAAAACCATTCCTTGTACCTACAACTTTTTCAACAGACCTCGAAAATAATCGGGTGCTCAATTTGATCTTTAGTATTATGGTTTGATTTACGTCAGCTCCAAACAGACAATCTAAACCTTATATTCAGTTGTTTGAAGTCTCATAGGGGTCCAACTTAGCCTCGTTCTGGTTTTTGCTCTATATTAATAATGTTATTGATGCATTCAGATACGAATTATTTATTGATGACCTACAAGTGTACAGAAAAAAACAGCGAATACATAAATATCCAGTGGAATCATTTACTAGAAAAGATTTTGAATTCATTTTAAGAGTATATTATAAGAGTTAATATTAAGTATTTCTCGTTCTACAAGAACGAAAGACTTGAAGATAATATTGGATAAAGAAATCATTTTTAAAGAACACATTGACATTGTAAATGCTGTTTATTTTTAAATTATGTTCAGTTATTAAAAACTTGTAGGCATCCACCTATCAATAATTTATTTGCAATGAACTGCTTACATTACTCCCTTGTGAGTTCTAAATTAAAATGTAGGTTTTTAAAACTTGGTTAAAACTGTTATGGTCACAAAAAACATCAACTAGAAATGTTAGAAGTCCCACATTCCAACTAACGAGCGATAAAAAAACCTCTAGTTACTAGTTGACTGTCTTTTTTTCGGAAACGTAGTTCACAAAGAACAATCAAATGTGGAGAGATTTATTATCATCTGCCACATCTGTCGTTTGAATGTCCGTGTTGCGTTCTTTCTAATTGAATCCAGTGAAATTAAGAAAAAAAATTTAACAATAACTGAATTATTCCAATTAAACCCAGTATATTATACATAACACTTCCAACAGTTTGCTTATTTCAGAAATATAAATATAAATTTATATAACGCTGTACAAAAAATGATTGACAACTGTATTTAAAGACAGCGTTAATATACAAAAAGACTGTTGAACACAAACGTATAATTTTATTGGAATAACAAAATTTTACTAGTTTTTGATACAGTGCAACCTCGATTATCCGGGCCGACCGGGACCAGATGTTTGCCGGATAATTGAAACGAACGGTTAATCAAAATTATTTATTTATTTAGGGAAATACATATGTACGGTTAAATTAAACATGTTTTACAAAAAAAGCTGTCAATTTGGTTTGTTTTTTAGTTTTTAATTGTTTCTGTCTAATGAACGACTTCATTTTTTGTAAGTTTAAAATGGTAAAGTCATCAATATCTTGCTTTTCAAAATAATCAATCAAAGTGTTACAAGCTTCCAGTGCTTGCCGATTTGTAATCTTATTGGAAGTGTGTTCTTCAAAGATATCATCATTTTCATCTGACTCTTCTTTGTTTTTCTCGTGATCTTCACCTGACTCTTCTTTGTTTTTTTCAGATTGTGCAATTATTTCTTCTTCAGTAAAAGTTTCAGTCCCGTGTTCTTGAAAATCGCACTGAATCCAATTGTCAATTACTTCAGCATCGACACCATCCAATGTTGAAATTTCGGAGGCAATGTTTGCTATGGCATTTGTAGTAACTTCACTCTCTACTATCGTTTCGTTCATATCTGGTACATCTTCTAATGTTAAAATTTTTAAAAATGCTCGCTTTATTGTGACATCTTTTACACAACTCCAAGCCTCAGCAATGCCATAAATCGCGTCCTTAATATTTAGATTTTTCCAAAATGTCATTGGGTCAGCGTCTTCTTGTAATAAGTCCATCATTATCTTTTTTCTGTAGTATCTTTTCATGTTCTCGATCACTCCTTGATCCATTGGTTGGCCAATAGATGTAACATTTGGAGGAAAGAACGCTGCAGTAATATTTCCATCTTCCGATTTCAATACTGTCTCGTCCATATGTACAGTCGCGTTGTCAAGAAGTAACAGAGCTTTTGGTGGCAATTTATTAACTTCAAGAAATTTTCTGACTTGAGGGATAAATTTTTTAAAAAACCATTCTCTGAAAATATCTCGTGTCATCCAACACGATTTTTGATTATAGTAATCCACGGGTAGATTATTTCTGTTAATGTTCTTAAAGGCACGTGGATTTTTTGACTTTCCAATCACAGTCAGTCGTAGTTTATGTCGTCCAGTTGCATTGGCACAACAAAGTATGGTAACTCTGTCTTTGTTGGTTTTAAAACCTGAAGCACATTTTTCAGATTCGTGAGCTAAAGTTTTAGTGGGCATTGTTTTCCAAAATAAACCTGTTTCGTCGGCATTATATACTTGATCCAATTTTAAATCACGTTCCAGGATAATATTTTCAAGCTCATAACAAAACTCAGTTAGAGCTACCTCGTCTGCACTCAGTTTCTCGCCTTCTATGGATAGCTCTCTTATTCCATGTCGTTTTTTAAATCGATATAGCCATCCATTTGAAGCCTTAAAATTTTCTCCAGGATTCAGTTTTTCGTGAAATAGTTGAGCTTGACGTAAGCACATTGGTCCCGAAATTGGCGTACCTTCGGCTCGTTTTTGTAGAAACCATTTAATCATTGCTTGTTCCAGTTCTTCAAACGTGGAAGCCTTCATTGTTTTTCGTTGGGAAACCACTTGCATACTATCGGCTTGTAATAAAAAAGCCTGTAGATTTGTTTTGTTCTTGACAATATCGCGAACTGTTTGACGTCCTATTCCAAATCGTCTAGCTAGAGCTGCCACATTTTCTCCTAGATAAAACGTTTGTTTCAAAATTTAGATTTAATTATATATTCGACGAATATCTACCTGACTCATTTTGTTTGATAATCTCAATTTTTTGTTCAATGGTTAGAACTGTACGCTTTCGTTTAGCAGAACCACTTGCACCTGGCTGATCCATAATTACTATATAAGTGTTCGATATTGAGTGAATATATTACGCTTTTACACCACAAAGTTTAAAACAGACTAAATAAATGTTAAATTAGTCAGCTCATTAATAAAAAACGCTGTGGTAGCTATTATGATTTCAGTTTCATGCTTATACCAGAACGCTGTTATAGGTGGGTAACATAATATTTTGTTTTACAAATCACATTTTAGCTGAGTTGTCGGCATGCTTGCATTTCGTGTTCGGCACGGATAATCGAACCACGGATAATCGAGGTTATCTACTGGCACGGATATTCCACCGCCCGGTTAATGCGCACCCGGATAATCGGGGTTCTACTGTAGTTTTAAAAGGTGCTTCAAATTTCATAGTAAACCTTTCACTAGCAACGAACAGATGACAGATGAAAAGAAACATTTACCAAGATAACAAAGAGATGAACAGGGTAGCTTTCAATCTCGTAAACTGTAAGCAAAACAAAACGAAACTAGACATTTGCCACAGTCCACAGTAATACTACTACTAGAATACTTCGTTAACAAGGAATAAATATCCATAATATGTTGAGATAGATGTTTTTGAAACGAATGCCATTAAAAACCAGTTGAGAGTTTAAAATAAACGAAACAGTGTACACGTTGTGCAAGCCGAAATAATGGAGTCAACCGATAAAGTTGATTTCCGGTGGGGTCACCCCTGATTGCCCACAAAAAGTTGCAATCCGATTTACTTTGATTATAAAATGTTCGAAGATTGTATCGTATATCATCTAAATGAGATAAGTTTGCATGTTGGCAACATCACCGTATAGAAGATTACATTTTAATGCAAATATTGTAGAAGTTTGCCGTTTCTCGATGGCGCGGAGTGGACCGCGAAGGGAAATCCATCACAGTTAAAATGTGCGAATACAATATGGAGGTACTTATAGGCTATTTTCCGCACCGCAAAACCGATTTTAATACATAATATGTCACATAAAATTATATCAGACTCTGTATATGTATATAGTGGCCGTGCGATAAAATGTGCCTTTTATATGTTATAGATCTATAGATCATACATTCTTTGCACAGAAATCCCCATAAAAATATTATATGCTCTCCCAAAGGTTGATATAGAATCACTTTAGTATAAAAGCAAATTTATTTCACCGGTTTATGTGTTGAAAGGACGGACGCTCTTTCAATTCGACATTTTCATAAATTCTCCCAATGCCTCGCAGAAATCACCGAATCGTATTCTTCCTTTGAGCAAAATAGGAGACCATTTTTACTCGGCTTTCTTTGAAAGTCTCCACTCTAGAAATGTATTTTTCATTTTATATATCTTTATCACGGATATTTTAGAAACATCGAGTGTAAATATTTTATGGTCAGAATAATAAATATTTGCATTAATTTAAATATTTCAACGTTGTTTTAAACAGCGAACACAAAGTTAATACCGAAGTTAATACCTACACAATAACTAAACTATTGTTCTTCGCTATATTAAAACATACATTTTTTATTTTCGATGTGATGGTTTACTGTGAAACAATGCAGTAAATTTTCAGGAACAATTAACAACTAAAACATTTACAATTTATGTACTTTTGTTTTTGTTTACGTTTTACTAAATGGGACGAAAATTTAAAATAAATGTTATATTAGGCATGTGTACTTCAACACTAATTTTATGTATTAGTAAGGAACAAAAAAATATAAAATATATATTCATATATAGGTGTCCCAGATAAAACTCCGCGGCCTTACATTTTAACACGGATAGAAATATTGAAACGTCATTGCTTTTAACGTGAAAGGTAAAGCTTAACTTAGTACACTGCAAATATGACGCATATAAAACACTGGTGTTTATTTCACTTTCAGTTGATACAAAAATTAAATTTATAAATTTTACCAATAACTAGTAACATTTGTTTCAAAAACAGGTACTTACGGATACATTCTAACTGTCGTACTTCACCTTACTTTTATAAAGAATGAAATAAAAATTAAAAAGGTTTTGAAATTGCATTTAAGCGCTTTGACTTTTTCAGGTGCGGAGCTTGCAGTGAATAACCTTGTATAAGTGTGTTTTATACCATGGAAATACAGAATGGCATCGGAAGTATAGAAGACTTCTTGTTAATATAACGCACACCATAAATAATTAAGTAACTGATCTAAAATGCTTAGTATAACAAAAAAATTTACGGTAATGGAAACAATTTAATTTAATAAAAAAATACAATCCACCTTACAGTATTTTTGTCCAATATTTGCCAAAAACCAATAACCATTTATTATGTCAGTTGATCACTGGGTACTAGGTCGTTCCTGGATGGCGGAGTCATAAATTACACAGTCGAACAATTTTTGAAAATTTTCATGTTACAAGCATTCTGAAAATGTATTCTGAAAGATCATTTTGTGCTGAACAACTATCTAATAAGGCATTATGCCTACGTCGTAAAAAATTTTTTTTTTGGAGATTGTTCATAAATAGTTCCAGTTAAAGGTGTACGATTGCATAATGGGAATACATATCTAGTACTGCCGACTGCATACTCCATACAAACTGCACAAACATATGAGAATATTCAACACTTGTTAAACTGTATTAACGACAAAAAGTTTGAGTGCAATTTGCAGGTTTAGTAACTGGCTTCCAATCTGGATATACCAAGCACATGTGCTTCTTATGCAAGTGAAATACAAGAGAGAAAGCATTTCAACATCTGAAAACAATATTTCCTAAGCTTTCTGCTGCTAACATAAACCAAGGTAAAAACTAAAATATTACACTGAATTTCAGTTTTCATATTATGTACGTTTTCTATATTTAGGAATTTTTATTGGGCCTGAAATTCGAATGAAGGATCAAATGTTCTACGCCTATTTGAATCATACGGAAAAATTTACTTGGAATCAATTAGCTTAGTGATCAGAAAATTTGTAGGAAACAAACGTTCCACAAATCATGTCTCATTTAAATTTCTTTGCTGATAATCTTTTCATCGAGAAATCAAGAAAGCGGAAGAAAGATTTAAGAGAAAGACCCAAGTATCCATTCTTTCCGAATACATGAGGCCTTTATCAAGAGTTAGATTCTTCTACATATTCTAGGCAGGTTAAGTATTCGTAGACGTAATTTTTAGTGCTTCTTGCGCATTTTTCTATGTAAAATTAGAATTCACTTCATTTTTTCTAATTGTTCACCGGATGACAATGGGTATATTATCTCTTTTAAGAGTTGTTCAGCACAAAATTACCTTTCCGACCATAATTATGAAAATATATGTAACAAAAACACTGTTCTACTGTGTTATTATTACCGCTCACACAAATGAAATGATATTAGTAAAATATTTTAAGCTTCAACAAAAAATACCGTATGAACAACGTTATTTTAGATTCACAGCTTATAATTCTATTTTTTCGGATATACAATCGCGGCCTTAGAAAACTGGACCACTTTGACATATACAAAGTTTTAATTACGTAGATTTTAAAATATCGTAATACCAGTTTGAATGTATGCGCTCCTGATTTGAGAAAAAGGGCAGTAACTTTATAAAAATAATTTGATTTGTTAAACAAAATACTGATTAAACCATGAAATTTTTAAAAATTTTGAAGTGTGTGGTCCACTTTTCTATGGCTGCGACTGTACATATTACTCTCTAGCCCGAGGTGCGTTCATTACAGCCTCCCTTTATCTAAAATTTTCTTGTTCATACTTGAATTCTTTGGAATTAATAAATTCTTTAGTTCGTATCAGTCTGGCTTTAGAGCAAGAAAATAAAAAAATTTCTAATATCTCTTCTTTTATATATTCAATCACCCAAGCTTTCGAAAGTAGTCACAGCTGTAACATCTTCAAAGTTATATTTCCCATAATTTGCTGTTAGATAAAATCAAAACTTCACAGTTTTCTTAAAGCTGCTATAAATTTAGTATTCTTTTATCTTGCAGCAATCATCAAATTGTCTCCTTAAGTTCTAATAATTCTTCACCTCTTCAATTACACTTTGATCTTGCTCAAATATTCGTTATCAGTTCCACTCTATTTTTAATTTGTAGGCTAGAAAATTTTTCAGAGGATTCGATATTAAGGTTGTTTATACATCCGGACAGAGTCTTCAAAGTCATATCGGAGACCCTAAAGATAAATTCGAATATTTCTGACATAAGTTTTAAGAAGATTGTAAACAAAAATATAATGGACAATGGGCAAATAAAAAGGGCGACCGTCACAAGATTCGAAGAGCACACGGCCCACTTTAAATGCGACGGGTTCGAAAAATCAAGTGTTGCTCAACATATTTTTATGAAAGGCCACAGAATAACGCAAACTGTTTAAAATTAGTTAAGTCTGGCAATAATTGTAAGTTTCTAGACATACAGAAAAATCTAGGAATATTTAAAAACAAAAATTGTATAATGAATTCAGATCACGGGCCCATATCGAACTCGCTTTACGCCTTTGTGGTTTGTGGAGTCAGAGAAGGGAGAGATGATATAAATTAGCGTAGTCCTAATTTCACTTTAATTTAGTTTTATCTAGATAATACTGTTACGAAATAAACTCATACTCCGCCCCGGTACGACGCCTATGGGTTGAAAAACCTGGAACCGGAAAACACGATGGGACTTCCAGAAAGACCTCGACCACGGAACCTCTAGAAGGGGAGTATGGGTTTAAATAGAGGCCACCTTCGGGAACGAGAATAATTCAGTCAAGACAGTGTCCAGTTAAGTTGCGTCGGAATTGTTTTGTACATAAGCTCTGTGTAATTAGTCGTGTAAATTTGAGTACTGTGAAATAAATTGTTGAGTTTTACCCCACGCCGTGATACCAACGTGATTGGTGAAACGCATGACTGTCACGTTTTAGGTGTTGTATGGTAATAAAGGTTATATTAACATATTTACTTCAGATTAAATCCAAAAATCAACACCCTGGACTCCATTTTTCGTTCCATTCGCCAGATGGCTTCTCTAACTACTAATTACGAAACG